TTTCTCAGTACCTGCCTACACAGCCAGCTCATGGGTTTCGAACAACATTCAGGCCATCACAATGTGGACCAAACCATGATAACCATTCAACATAAAATTCACCAGAATCTCCCCAGCTCCAGTCTCACCCCATGTCCAACCCTCCCTCTCATCCCTGCCTCCTTGACCTGACACAACCTGTCCATCTTCTTCCCTACCCTTCCCACTGACCAAAATCCACTACCCCCTACCTGCATCCACCTATCACCATGCCACCTACCTTCCCCCAGCCCCATCACCCCCATTTATTTCCAAGCTCTCTTCCCCCTCTCCAGTCCTGATGAAGGGTGAAAACCCACAATGTTGACGTTCCTGCTACTCTAATGCTGCCTGACCTGCTGTGTTCCTCCAGCTCCACACTGTATTGACTCATCATTCTGAAACTATTTTCCCAGCATTAACACCAAAAAGACTGCAGCAGTGTTCTGCCTGGCACATGCACTGAGAAGCCACACAGCCCCGAATTCATACATGCTTGCAGTGGTCCATCAGCCACTCGACCCTACCCCATTGGCAACCAAGACACATCTCTTACGATGAGTCCTCACCAGTCAGGTTCAGCTGGCTAGATGAGCTACTGTTACTAGTCAAGCAGGGTGCTTGTCCCCCAGGCTGCTGATTGGGAATTGGCAATCGGGCTGTGTTCGCAGATGGGCAGCATCAGGGAAGGCTGCATTGGTCTTCCCTCTTTGAAAATAACTGAGAAATCATTTTTAAGTGAAATGATTTCAGCCCAGATAGGTTGATGATCCTTACAATTAACTCCCTTGTATTGGAAATTTTGCAATTTCACCCTATTTAAGTATTTTGGGTGAGCTAAGCCAGGAAAATATTTTTCCTTACTCATTCATTGGATGAGGGTGTCACTGTCCAAGCCAGCATTTATTGTCCATCCCTAAATGCTCAGAGGGCAATTTAGAGTCAACCATATTGCTGTGGGTCTAGAGTCACATGTAGGCTAGACCAGGTAAGGATGGCAGTTTCCTTCCCTAAAGAATGTTAGTGAACCAATTGGGTTTTTACAAAAGTTGGCAATGGATTCATGGTCATCATTAGACTCTAATTACAAGATACTTTGTATTGAATTCAAATTCCACCATCTGCCATGGTAGGATTTAATTCCAGGTCCCCAGAACATTACTTGGGTCTCTGAATTAACAGTCCAACGATAATACCACTAAGCCATTGCCTCCCCTTGAATATGGCATTATTAGGCTAACCTCTGTTGTGACATTATGTCATTAGGAACAGAGTGACTGAGTATTTGAAGATGAACTTACCACACAGGCCATCATGAACTTGCGATAGTTACATTATTCCATTTAACCCTATTCATTTTTCTGAGGCATTCACTAATGTGTTCGGTAATGGTGTACAAACAGTATTTGCTAGGAACATTGGAAGCAATCGTCTGATATGGGCAGTGAATTGGCTTGGAGGACGGAGACAGAGACCAAGCATGTACTTGTTTGTGATATACATAAATGATCTGGAGGAAGGTATAGATGGTCTGATTAGCAAGTTTGCAGATGACACTAAGATTGGTGGAGTAGCAGATAGTGAAGGGGACTGTCAGAGAATGCAGCAGAATATAGATAGATTGGAGAGTTGGGCAGAGAAATGGCAGATGGAGTTCAATCCAGGCAAATGCGAGGTGATGCATTTTGGAAGATCCAATTCAAGAGCGAACATTACGGTAAATGGAAAAGCCCTGGGGAAAATTGATGCACAGAGAGATCTGGGTGTTCAGGTCCATTGTACCCTGAAGGTGGCAACGCAGGTCGATAGAGTGGTCAAGAAGGCATACGGCATGCTTTCATTCATCAGATGGGGTATCGAGTACAAGAGTTGGCAGGTCATGTTACAGTTGTATAGGACTTTGGTTCGACCACATTTGGAATACTGCGTACAGTTCTGGTCACCACATTACCAAATGGATGTGGATGCTTTGGAGAGGGTGCAGAGGAGGTTCACCAGGATGTTGCCTGATATGGAGGGCACTAGCTATGAAGAGAGGTTGAGTAGATTAGGATTATTTACATTAGAAAGACGGAGGTTGAGGGAGGACCTGATTGAGGTCTACAATATCATGAGAGGTATAGACAGGGTGGATAGCAAGAAGCTTTTTTCCCCCAGAGTGAGGGACTCAATTACTAGGGGTCACGATATCAAGGTGAGAGGGGAAAAGTTTAAGGGAGATATGCGTGGAAAGTTCTTTACGCAGAGGGTGGTGGGTGCCTGGAATGCGTTGCCAGTGGAGGTGGTAGAGGTGGGCACAATAGCGTCATTTAAGATGTATCTAGACAGATACATGAATGGGCAGGGAGCAGAAGGATACAGATCCTTGGAAAATAGGCGACAGGTTTAGATAGAGGATCTGGATTGGCGCAGGCTTGGAGGGCTGAAGGGCCTGTTCCCGTGCTGTAATTTTCTTTGTTCTTTGTTCCATTAGTGCTGCTTCACCTAGGGATCTGTACTCAGCTTTTAACTGTACTTCAGGAACGACTTTATTGAAGGAATAGAGTTGTATATCTGTATGCTGACAAAATTGAAATATTGGCACACTAGTGTGAATGTTGCAAGTGTACTTAAGTACATTGATAGATTGAGTGGAGAAAATTATGGTATATAACGTTCAATGTGTAAGGTCATCCATTTTGAACCAAAGGAAGAGAGGGCAAGACTACTTTTGCAATGGTGAGAAGTCAGGACTTCTGAAGGAGCACAGATTTATGAATCCAAATTCAAAAATCACTAAAAGTTAGCAAAGATGTACAAACAGTTATTACAAAGGCTAATGGAATTTTAGCTTTAATATCAGTCTGCAAGTTATGTCCACATTGTATAAAGCTTTCAATAGAAATCCTATATTTCACATTTTGATTCCACTCTACATGAAGGCAAGTCATTGGTTCATTGTCTGCATATGGTTCCTCCAGAGCCATTTTCAGGCAATTTTGCCAATGGCAATTTGCAATTGCCTTCCACTCTGTGGGCAAGGCAAGGAGGTAGGTCTCAAGTCTACCTTTGCAGGAATCCACACTGCTGGCATTATTCTAAACTGTACACTAATCATTTAGATTCTTAATCAACTGAGCTAACCAACACCTACATATTCCATACAATCTGTTACATGTTAAGAGATTTTGCAGGCATTAGCTCAATTGGTCTAATTGAAAATATTAACCATCCTCAAATAATTTGTTATACATAACAGGTTATGGGATATGAAAATCATTTCCAGATATCAGCAGGCTTCAGCTCCTAATTCCCAGCCACTCTGTGCCACCATCTTTTTGGAAGTGGCCTTGATAGGATGGGTTAAGTGTTGGGATGATCCTGTAGAAGCTATAGAAAATGGTTTCACCAAAATAGTAATAGGGCAACACTTGTAAATGTGCACTATGATGGTCTTAGATATTACTTCCACCTTCTATGTTTAACTAAATACTGTTGCAAACCACATTCAGATTGTTACAAGTTAAGAGATTTGTGTGTTTCCAGACTAAATCTTCAAACAGTGCCCTGCATGGGTAAAACAGATCAGTTTATATGCATTTTATCAGCAGCAAATCTGCATTTAAATTTTAGAAGAAGCCAATGCAGTTAAATATTAGCGCTCAAAAGAGCATTCGTGTGTCGAAATTGTAATTTGAAAAAGAGCATGGGACAGGTACAAACATAACCCACTACATCGTTGGATATAGAAGTGTTTTTTCTCTAATTATTCAAGGGTGCGGCATGTTATGCAGTGAAAGGTCAGTTAAAAGTTATCATCACATTTTTTCACCATTTGCACTAGTTCAAAGACATCTTTAAATAAGTGTACGGTTTTGCATGTATAAAAATAGTTTATTTAAGCATAAATGCTTGCATTGGTTTTATTCTAAAATATATTATTTCTTGCCACGGATACTATGTAAATCCAATGCATGTATGCATATTTCAACAGAGCACATGGAAATTTCCACTCCAGACATAGACATCCATGCAGTTAGTGAGCATTGCAATCAGTAAATTATTACTGCGAGATATATGAATACCCATATATTGGTCATATGCTTGGAGCATCCTATGATGACTGTATGATTTTGTCCTCTATTAAATTTTCTTGCGATTTTTGGCTAGGCTAAGAATTGCTCAAGATCAAAAGTGAATGGTGAAAATGCAATGGCACCTGGACTGAATTTTCAATAGAAAAGCATTGTTGATCAAAGACTTTCAATCTTAGATGTGTTTAAACAAGGGTTTTTAGATCATTAGATGTTTTTAAGGAAATTGCAAATAGCTGTGAATACAGAGAAACATTTTTGTAGAGCCCAAATATAATATTCTTACTAGAATTGGCTGTGGGACAGCAAGCTGCCTCATCTACAAGGCAAAATAATTAAAATTCTCTCAGTAGCATTCCACCAACGATCCTTCATAATAAACGTATTCTCCTTCTATTGACATTCAACCTATCTATTTTGGATGTTAATTCAAAAATTACCAAAAATAAAAGTAGTACATCTACCCTGAATGTTACCAGGCCAGGTCAGCAAATTACTATTATTTAAGTTAACACTGCATAAAATATCTAATTTATAGCTTTATTTCCTATTTTAAGCTAAATATATGAAATTCAATAACCACAAATACAAACTGCACTGATACCACTTATTCTAGCCGCTAACATGGGCTTCCTTTGGTCTGGCAAACTTGCTTTTGTGATTTATATGTTCTCTGGTTGTTAGATTCTAAAACTGAGTTGGAGCTTCTTTTTCCTATCACATATGAACGTTTAAAGAGGGAATATAGTTCTTCCACTGAGCTGGGCACAAGTCAAACTCAGTTACAGTAAAATAGAAATCTTGAATATAAAATGTATACTTTTTCATTATGTTTTACTCTCTGTTCTGATAATGGCAAATGACAATATCGGTTTATTAGACATTTTATCGAAATGAAAAACTTTAATCTTAGATTAAATTATGTTTATTTAAGGTTTTGCAGTATGATTCATAGATGACATAGGTTCATCAGAGTCTATATAAGTATATATAAGTACAGCGTTCAGGCAGTCAAAAACAGCTTCCTACAATTCTTTAATCTGATATTTACTGCTTTGCGACAATTACTGAATCCACAACAATGCTAATTCTGTGAGGGCCTGAACCTTAAGGGTTGCTCCCCATCTGAACAGCCAAAGGGCAATGAATTTGTAAATTTTTAATGACTTCACATTCTTTGTTCATTGTCAGATGTTTCTTGGATACCAGTATTGCTAGTGTAAATGTTCAAGAAGGATTTTGACTGCTTGTGCCAAATTGTCCACATACCCATCTGCCTTCACTGTTGGGTGCTGTTCGTCACAGGGTCTGTAAATAAAGTCACAGAAAAATAATACACTTATTAGACACAGTGTCCGCTTTGTGGTTAATTATACATGATATTCAGCATCCAAAATAGGCTTTAGTTGTTCACAATGTGGATCATATCGAAGCATGATATAAAGTTAATTTTTGAGACTCAGTTCTACACCAGATATCATCAGTTCTTTTTATTTGTACATGCAAAAATTATCATCAAATGAAATATTACCATAACTCGACTATGTTGCAAGATATTTCTGCTGGACTAGATCAAAATAGTTCTAATCCAAAACCAGAAGCCTGCAAAAGCTGCTGCAAGATGCCTCTTTGAATTGTCCCCTTTTCTTTTCTCTAGTATAGGAAAGTACCTGCTCCTCCAACTAACCACTTTCTACAGTAACTGAAAGAAACTGGGAACTCAGTAATGTGACGAAATCGCAAGCTCAAATCAACACCATGGTGCCGTTAAATGCACACTGCTAACAACCGCCATCTGTAACACAGAAAAATACACAAGATACTGTGATTGCGAGGTGCTCTCAACATATGCAAAAGTGTGGAACAACCTTTCTGCTGGCTTGCTTAGCCTGAGCCAGCTGGTTAATGTGGGGACATATAAAGGTGAAGCAGAGGCTAAAGGAAATGATAGAACACAAAACAAAATGAGTATTTAAGCTGAACACGATGACAGGTGTTTGCTAATGGAAGCAACTGTTGCAATAAAAAGGCAAGTGAAATACAGATTTAACATCTCTTTGTAACTTGCCTGTTAAAAAATTTGTTGGCATTCACCTTACATGGTTTGAAATAACAGAAAGCAAGGGAAATGCATGGTGTACAGTGATGTGGAGGGCTCAAAAGTGTGAATAAGTTTCAGCCATTGATATAAGTCATGGTCTTGTATAAGTGGCATTGCTAACAACCACCATCTTCAACAAGGCCATGACTTATACCAATGGTTGAAACATATTCACACACCTTTGGACAGTTTTGGACCCTTCATATCGCAGTTTGTACACAGAGTTTCGGAAGAGAGTAGGGGGACTTATGTCTGAGGTGCTAAAATGTATTAAGTTTCATTCTCATGTCTTTTTAAACCAAACAGGTGAAGTATTGCGCCTTAAGTATTCAGCAGAACTGTTGGTGAGGATGGTTTTTAAATTATTATGGAAATATAGTTGTCCTGCATGGAATGAAGTCTTGGAACCAGAATTCAAACTACATCTTTAGCTGAATGCCACATTGGAAAACTTATAGAAAAAAAAAGTATCATAATCCATTGTGAATGATATAATAAAACAAATATGCAAAACTTTGAACACATTGCTGAACAGTACAAACATATTGAATAAAACTGACAGTTTGGCTCAACAATGAAAAAAATAGTAGTAAATGACAGTTTCGAGAAAACTAACCAGATGGTAAAGGAAACCAGAAATTGATACTGTCTCAGAGAAAAGTAAACTCCCTTTATACTTCCTCAGAGTTAAATCTCAGCTTAACATAGTCCTACAAGCAGGACCATCTGCGCACACGATTACCAATTACCAGCTAAGAACTTGGAATAGCTTACCTGTCAGCAGTTGACTGGAAGAGCTGAAATGACATTGCACATCCCAAGAATAAACAACACATCACTTTCCTACTAAGTAGTGACACAATTAATTCTGTTTGGAATTTCTTGGTCAGCAGGACGGATGTGCAATCTTGCTACTGCAAATAGATGTACAGTATCTTACCACAGCCATTCTTACAGCCCTTGCACTGCAAAGATACACTTGCCTTACTTGATTTACTTAAACCCATTTCCCATTTGCCAACTGACTTTCCTTACGCAATGCCATATTTTAATCATAACCTGTTCACCTGAAAGTTTGTAATACATTTCCCAAAGTAGACCTTATCAAATTACTTTTGAAATACTTCCTGATAAGTTTACTGCATTCACTTTATCTATACATTCAGTCACTATAAAAATTCAAACTTGTGAAATTTGACTTTAACAATGGTATGCTGGTTGTCCGTCCCCAAATCAAATAATGCTAAATGGATTGTATGTCGAATTATGAATTCAACATGTTATGTACGAATAATATTAAAGTAACAAATATATAACGACTCTCAATTCTGGAGGTTAGTGCATGGTGTGTGCGTGCGTGCATGCATATATGTGTGCACGCGCGGTGGTTGCTGGGGTAGGGGTTGAGGTTGGCTCCTCGAGCCCACAGCCGTGAAATGACCTAAATGGACTTTGGCTTGAATTCTCTTTTCTTAAAATTTCTTATTTTTCCTTTATTATATTATCGTGGAAGAACGGCTATTCTGAACCTTTTAATCTCATTCTTTTTCTAATTTATTACTATGATTATGTACTTTTGAAGGTCTGTGATGCAGGACTTTTTATTTCCTCAGAATTTGTACTCGAGAATCTATACTTTGTTCAGGAATTCTACATAGCATTGAGAGAACATCAAAAGGACTTGCTGACATACTTATTTGACTACAAGATTCTGTAACAACACACAATGCACTTAAGGATGCTGGAACTGATAAAAAGCACAAATGGAAATTCTTGCCTCAAGAAGCAATCTGTCCAACTGTTCTTCTCTTTCTTTCGGCTCTATCGCCAGTTATCGTTTACTCCTCACTCCCTCCCCCCATCCTATCTTCTGCATAAAAAGACATTTTCCTACCTACCATCAGAGGAAGGGGCACTGGACCTGAAATGTTAAGTCTGATTTTTCTTCACAGATGCTGCCAGACCTGCTGAGCTTTTCCAGCAACTTCTGTTTTTGTTCCTGGTTTACAACATCTGCAGTTCTTTCTGTTTTTGGAAAGGTACAGTAGTCTGGCTTGTAAACAAAAATACGGTAATGGTTTGGAAGAGATTTAACACTTATTTCTCACAAATGTTTGACAATCTGCTCTCAATTCCATCATTTGGAAAAACATACAAAACATGTAATTCCACCATTTGTACATTAATCATCCGAATGAGAACGTACCCTCAATTCTTTCTCTACATATCTGCAAGAAAAGTATTTTTTTAATATATAATAGAAGAACAAACAAGAATCATTTGCTAGTCTTTTTTATATATATTACTTTTAAATTGAAGTTCTTTTTCCACCTCCGCATACACATTTTTCTACTTCTCAACTAATTTTGCTTCTCTTACTTCTAATTTTTACATCTACCACAATTTAAGTTTAGGTTCAAATTCAGTCTCTACTTAGCTAAGAAATTCTAAACATCGGTTAGTCAATTTGCATGGAACGTATTTATTTTCCGTGCAATTTTCTTTGGGGTCAGATCGCTTCTCACCTCACTGAATGCCACCTGTTTCTGGTCTAGTATCTTAATTTTCTTACTTGACATTATTCTTTCCAATTTGACATTGAACCACATGAGTTGTTTTCACTGTTTCCTAATTGTTCTCTTTGCATCAGTTGTCCCAATTTCTTTCCTGCTTGTCAAAGAACATACTGATCTATGGAACATATAAGTCCATGTCCTGTCATCAGAACAGCTTATTTACATTATTACAATACTTCCCATTTCTGACACTACATCACACATTAAACCATTGAAACCGTTAAATGCATCAATGTAAACTGATTTGTTCACACTAATTCTCTGCTGCTGACTTCCCATTTCCCACTTTGACCACATATATTATCTTTATCCAGTTTATCCAGGGATAGTTAAATCATCCAGTATCATTACCTCATTTTTCCATCTCTCTAAATTGACTATAAATTTGCTTGATGGCCTCTAATGCACATTGAGATTCGTGCCATTTCACGCTCTGTTTCTAAATCTATCTATATCCCATCTGCCCAGTATTTTTAATGCCCAGCACTGTCAAAAAGGCTTTATTAATACCATTATCATATCCATTCTCTTTCATTTTAAATACAATAACTAGGAATTTCAAGTTGTTTAACCTTACTATTAAAAACAAATTATTGTGGATGTTGGAAACCTGAAGGTGCAAAGAGGAGTTCTACGGACTCAAAATGTTTAGTCTGTTTCTCGCTTCACACGTGTTGAGTTTTTCCAGCTTTTTCTGTCTCTATTCCTGACCCTTCTATTTTGTCAATTTTTATATTACCGTAATTTTCTTTTTCCTTTACAATCTTGCTGTCTTTTATTTTAGAAAAGTCATTTATTTTGTTTGTTCTGTTCCTCCCTTACCATTAAAATTCTAATGGTGTCTTAAAATTTATATTTATTTTATATTATAATTCTCCCCATGACACTAGGTAAAATTCATGGAGAACACTGATCTAACCCTGTTCAGGTGAGTCCTATCCATTCTGTAAAGACCACTCTTGTTCTAGATTCTTCTTTTAAGGAAAGAAGACTAGAATAAGATAAAACTCTGCAGTGACTTTTGAAAAGTGCTACTTAAAGCACTGTAGTGTATTGCTTGCTTGAGAAATGAGGATTCAGCATTTCTGATTATTTAACCAGAAAATAGAAATGCACTGAGGTGTGACTATCCATTGTCTTAATTCACAGAACAAATAGATGAACAGAAAGGCATCTAGCCTAAATGTTTTGGACTATAATATCGCGAATTTTGGCAGAAGGCAATGGAGCTTAGGTCAAATGGCCATAATTTCCTGTATTAGTGCATTCTAATCACAGATCTGTTCTTGGTTGGACTTGGCCTTGCATGTTTAGAATTTTACATTTTTTGAATGGAAAGTTGCTGAGAGTGTGCAAGTTGTTGTGAAGGAAGCCAGGCATCTAAAATGAGAGTGTACAGGATAAGCAGTGGTACATCTTCTGGACCAGTTTGATGAGTTGTGAATTTAACAGTGAGAAGAAAGTGTGCAAAAAGATAAATAAAGACAGGGGAAAGAAATACTGGATGCATTGCCAGAAAGAAAAGAAAAGTTAAAAAATAAGATTTGAATTTTTTAAAAATCTTCAGCAAAATTAATTCTGGGGATCATAGCAGGTCAGACAGCATCCATGGACACAGAGCAAGCTAATGT